TTAACCACTTAAGTCCCAAGGTGTTTTTTACATGCATTTTTTGTCTCTTTGCTATTTGAGCTTATTGGAACCTAATTAGAATAAAACCTAAGTATCATCTTTTGATATGATGTACTATTAGATAACAAAATTATGCTCATATATGTGAACTCTTGGTTCGAATTTACATAAAATACTTTTTCTGACGGTTTAGTATTGCATATTTAACAGATTTTTTTTTTATATTTTTTGACTATCAGAGAGTAAAAACAATTTTTTTCCCAACTATGGACAGTTAAAAATAGTGTTTGGGATATTCCATATGCTGCAAAACAGTTGTAGGATGACATTGTATTTCTCTAACTAAATGTAAAACATTTAAAGTATTTTAAATAGCCACTCAAGAGCTAAAATGTGCTGTCCATGTATGTGGTCACTAAGCCCTAGGAGGTTAAGGCAAGTCATTTTACTTTGTGGTCATTTTTAAAACGCCTCTCGGGCAGTATGCTCAATTATTCTGTCTAAATGGGAAAACCTTGAATTCTCCAAAACTGTTTGCCAAGCTTAGGATTACATTACTTACAGTATTTGGAATCACCAATACAATTAGACCAATATTGTCCCATAAGCTTCTAAATGTTCAAAACAAAATCAAAATTTTTTCAGGTTGCCTGAGCTAATACGCATGGGCACTCAAAAGGAACGAGATCACGGCACTGACCTCAATTATGGCCGTGCTACATATTATCATCCTCTGGATGATGCTTTGTCTGATCGCGCTGGTCTTCTGAAGTAATGCACAACTTGGTCTTAATGGCAAATCTCCTTCTGAAATGAGGAGCTTGCCCAGTAGCTCACCATCTATGTTGGTGGACTTGAGACGCAGAGAGAAGTTGACCGTGACGACAAGGTTTGAGTCTGGTAAAGAAAGCAATGCTTCCAGAAAGCAGGTTAAACAAAAGGCAAAACATTAAAATGAACAAGTAAATAGAGATCGTAATAAGATCTGAAAACCTCGTTAATATCAGGTGATTTTCTTTTTCTGGATTACTTTTGAAAACACTGTCTGTTAGGTTTATTAGGGAAGGGGGTGGGCGTTGGTCTATCAGTGCTTTTGAAAACACTATCAGTTGGGTTTAGAGAAGAGTTTGGGTGGAGATATCAGTCGGTCGGTCAGTCAGTCGACAGCAGTCTCTGATGGATTTACGCGAGACAGGCAGGTACGAATGCCACTTGCTAAAGAACTTTGAGATCTGAAAAAGCTTACACAGCAGCCTCTAGTAGATTCGCGAAAACAAAAACAAAAAAACTGTACCTCCTGGGACGTATTTCACGATCTCCAGAAGTGTATATAGGGCTACGTATCAATAATGAGCCTGAGTTGCATAATATTGACCTTAAAATGGTTTTAAAAAATGTAAAACTGCATTTATTCTAGCCAAAATCAAACAAATAAGAAAAAAAGCCTTGCTCTGTTAATGATCGCTTGGGAAATATTTTTACAAAGAGGCCGTGTAATTGTGACTTCAACTGTAGATGCTATCCTTCAGCCCACACGAAATTCATCATCTCCTAAATATGCTAATGAAACTGCAACCCCTCGCCGGCTACAGACTGTTGAACTAACATTTGGCGGTGGGGTCTGGTGTAAAGACTGACCACCTGTGCTGAGACAATAAATCAGGCTGGCACTTACTGAACATTATGTGTCATGGAGTGTCTTTGAGTCTAGGTTTTGTTTGGTGCAGTACGTCTGGATCAGAGAACCGGGCGAATAAATGGCAACGCATTCAATCTCGGAGGGATTATGGAATCGTACAGATCAATATTAGCAGATTATGAATAGTCATATAGAGGTCAGTCTGTTCATGGGCTGGCTAAATCGTATTATTTTGATAGTAGAGCTGAAAATAGATGAACAGAGATGGGGGAGAGGGGGAGTAGGAGACTGCTTGACAATTGACTATGTTGGGTTTTGTTGGATTTACTGCTTTTATTAAGTGTGATGAGGGAAAAATTAATGCTCAGTCGTATGCTGCACTGGTATAATTTTGTCAATAGCCAAATATACAATATGGACCAAAATTTCTGAGGAAGATTTCCAGTGCCTTGTTGAATCTGTGCCACGAAGGATTAAGACTGATCTGAAGGCTAAAGGGGGTCCAACTCGTTACTAGTAAGGTGTGCCTAATAAAGTGGCCATAGATGTTGTGTATATGGCCATATACTTTTATGAGCTTGTGTCATATATGTCATTTGCATATAAGGAAATATATGCAAATTACATATACGCCATACAAGCTCATGTTTGGATTTCACACCTATAAAATAAGTCATATGTGCAATATGGATTTCTCTTTTGACCCAACATTGGGTTACAATAACCCAGCATTTTTATTTATCAGATATACCATTTGGCTTACAGTATAAAGCTTTGAGCACAGAATTCAATGATTGGCCAATCATAATCCGGTATTTTGTTTAACCCTTTAACCAAGGTCAATGAAGTCACCAGATATACAAACCAGTCTTTCACCAGAGCTCCTCCGGTGAGGTTTTGCATAAAACAACATGATGATGATCACATTTCAGTGCCAAGAACAGAACATTGGAATAAATACCATGGGAATCGGAGGAGCAGCTATAAATGTACATTGGTATAAAAGCAGTTGCTATTCCCCGGTGAACTGCAAAAACAGCACAGCCAGAGCGAGAGAAAGAGAAAGTGTTAGAAAAGGAGGATACAGCATCAATTCTGCGAAAGACATAAAGTGACAGGAAAAAGAGGTCCAGAAAGAAGCATAAATGAGAGAAGAACAGACATCCTCATGTATGAGGACTCTTGCAACACTGCAGACGTCTACACAAGTTATGCTCCAGTGCGTCTGTCTGACACTGTCAAAACAGAGAGCATGAGAGGTTCACTGATGCCTGCAAACTCCTGCCTGAGTGCCTAACACACGGCACAGTGTATGACAGAAACTGCAGCGCTTTCCCATCCAACACAACTCATTTACCAGCCCCAAACACTGAGCTCTAAACAGCATTAAAGGGTTAGTTCGCACAATTTTTTCATTCATTCATTCGTTTTCCTTCAGCTTAGTCCCTTTATTAATCTGGGGTCGCCACAGCGGAATGAACCGCCAACTTATCCAGCATATCTTATATTATATATTATATATTATTATTAAATTTAGCTTTACCGCTTGTCTTTGGACTAGAGGTCTGCATTACATAAATTTCCGAATATAGCGCGGGAGCGGTCGGTAACTCGCATAATTTGAACGGGAGCGGGCGGTCTAACAGTATCGAGTACGCGTATGTATGTGTTTAAATGAGAGAGCTTGATGCTGTGTGCAGCTTGTTTGTTGCTGTCTATGTGTGTGTGTGTGTGTGTGTGTGTGTGTGTGTGTGTGTGTGTGTGTGTGTGTGTGTGTGTGTATGTATGAGCGAAAGCTTGGTGCTGTCTATGCGTGTGTATATGTGTGAATGTGAGATAGCGTGATGCTGTGTGTCGCTTGTTTGTTGCTGTCTGTGTGTGTGTGTGTGTGTGTGTGTGTGTGTGCGTGTGTGTGTGTGTATGAGAGAGAGCTTGGTGCTGTCTATGTGTGTGTATATGTGTGAATGAGAGAGAGCTTGATGCTGTGTGCAGCTTGTTTGTTGCTGTCTATGTGTGTGTGTGTGTGTGTGTGTGTGTGTGTGTGTGTGTGTGTGTGTGTGTGTGTGTGTGTGTGTGTGTGTGTGTGTATGTATGAGCGAAAGCTTGGTGCTGTCTATGCGTGTGTATATGTGTGAATGTGAGATAGCGTGATGCTGTGTGTCGCTTGTTTGTTGCTGTCTGTGTGTGTGTGTGTGTGTGTGTGTGTGCGTGTGTGTGTGTGTATGAGAGAGAGCTTGGTGCTGTCTATGTGTGTGTATATGTGTGAATGAGAGAGAGCTTGATGCTGTGTGCAGCTTGTTTGTTGCTGTCTATGTGTGTGTGTGTATGTGTGTGTATGAGAGAGAGAGCTTGGTGCTGTCTATGCGTGTGTATATGTGTGAATGAGAGAGAGCGTGATGCTGTGTGTCGTTTGTTTGTTGCTGTCTGTGTGTGTGTGTGTGTATATGTGTGAATGAGAGAGAGCGTGATGCTGTGTGCAGCTTGTTTGTTGCTGTCTATGTGTGTGTGTGTGTGTGTGTGCGTGTGTTTGTGTTTGTGTGTTTGTGTGTGTGTGTGTGTGTGTGTGTGTGTGTGTGTGTGTGTGTATGTATGAGAGAGACAGCTTGGTGCTGTCTATGTGTGTGTGTGAATGAGAGAGAGTGTGATGCTGTGTGTCGCTTGCCTGGTGCTCTGTGTCTATGTGTGTGTGTGTGTGTGTGTGTGTTTATACAGACAGCTTGTTACAGGCTGTTTGGACTTTGTATCATGTAGCTGGGTGTTTTTTGGTTTGAAGCCTCTTAGTTTTTAAGATATCACTAAGCTAGTGTGCTCCAAAACAGTGACTACATTCACGTTTAGAAGAATAAGAAACATTTAAGAAGATATGAAGCTGATTTAAACATTTAAATCGTGTAGTTTGTCACCTCCACCTAAAAAGATCAATGGTTTTACTTACGTCACCTCATACTTCAGTTTCTCATCATGACCAATCAAATGCTCTCTAGTATCTGACATGCCCCGCCTCTTTGAGACTCTTTTCGTTTGCTTTTCATTTGATGAAAATAAAACATGTGAGAAAATAAAACGCTATTGGCTGTTTTTTTTTTAAAGAGGAGGAGCTACACAATGTCCCATCCTCTCTTCTTGTTTCAGTTGAGATTACGTCAAACATCTAATAAAAATGCAACTTTCAAAGCACTTCACAGGACTGTTAAAAGTTGTGGTCGATCTGCAATCTCTTTAATAATATGAAAAAGAGCTGCATGAACATTCTCCGAAATATCTCTTTTCATGTATTACGAATACAATAGTTATAAAAGGTATTGAACATTATACTGAGTACATTTTTTTGTAACATTTTGCTTTTGTCTTCTATTACCAGCCTGTGGGAAGCTGACTGGAATAAGTGACGCCATCACCATAAAGACGTCCGGATCGAGATATGGATCGTGGATGACGGATCCGCTCGCCCCTGATGGCGATACGAGGGTGAGTTTATCAAATCCTTCAGCTTAAAGGAGTTTGAATCACTTCACATCCCTCACTTAAATCAAAACCAGTGTTGTTTTGAGTTTTTCTCTGCTTTTAAGCCTTCGATTTGGGGCTGTTTTGTCCCAGCAGTGTGTTTTCTTGTAAACAAGCCAAGAGTGCGGTTTATTAAATTACTTTTGCGCATTAAAATGCAAATGATAGGTGTAAATCTTGCAAGATTTCATTAGTCTGGCAGAAAAGCCTTTCTCCTGGTAAGATCTGAATGATGTTTTAGTATTTCCCATTGTATCGCTACTCCGTTTTCACACTTGCTTTAGCATTCTGTGCTAAAAAAAAACAAAGATCTTGTAAGTCAATTTGAGTTCCCTGCCTTGTACAAGCTTTCTGTCTTTCTCCAATTTCTCCAACAAATCTAACACATCCATCTTGGTTAGATGTCAGCAGCAAGTAAGTTTGCTTGACAACTAATCCATGATCCCATCATATATTAATGCAACGACTTCAAAGAGGATGGCTGAAGGTGAAGTCGTGGAGTTTTTTTTAGGCCCGTTGAGATGGATCGATCCAGCAGAAAAGCTCAGAAACTGAAAGGCATCTGGCCTGCAGTTCTGTCTGAGCCTTAAATGATTGATGAGGGGTCAGAGAGTTGCCCTTGCGTGAAGCCCTCCATATATTTCGTCAGTGAATATACACTTAAAAGGGTCAGACAGTTCTGAAGCAGGCTTGTTTTAAAGGGTTGAATGCTTGAAAGCAGATTCACAACAGGGAGATGATATAATATAGGCAGATGTAAAAGAAGGAATGTTATACATCAGTGCCAGAGATGTAGACTGCATGCTGAGCTTGATTCTGAAGGGATCAATGATAAATCAAAGTGTTTGAGAGGAAGAAAAATGCATGTGGCACATGTATTCCTCACAACTCTAAGTCAGAATTATTCGCTCTCCTGTGGATTTTTTTTTTCTTTTTTAAAATTTTCCCAAATTATATTTAACAGAGCAAAGAATTTTTCACAGTATTTCCTATAATATTTTCTCTTCTGGAGAAAGTCTTATTTGTTTTATTCTGGCTAGAATAAAAGCAGCTTTTTATTTTGTAAAAAAAAAACTTTGTAAGGTCAATATTATTAGCCCTCTTAAGCAATATTTGTTTTGATTGTCCACAGAACAAACTATCAATATACAATGACTTGTAAATATCACTTTAAGCTGATTACTAGTATCTTATATTAGTAATATTACTATTAAATATTATTTACTGTCATCATGGCAAAGACAAAAGGAATGTTTAGAACTGTGTTGAAAAACTCTTCTCTCCGTTAAACAGAAATTGGGGGAAAATATATACAGGGGGCTAATAATTCTAATGAAACTGTATGAGTGAACACTTTACTTGTTATTAAAAAATAAATATATAATTAAAAGTTATTAAAAGTTGAATAATTAAAAGTTGTGTTTTTAATTATACTCTTCAGCATTATGTAATAAATATCATGAAATATTGGTTTATAAATGTGATTGCGTTTTTGGCAATTGCGTGATATTTTATGTGTCTACAGTGTATCTGGAAAGTATTCATAGCGCTTCACTTTTTCCACATTTTTTATGTTACAGCCTTTTTCCAAAATGGATTAAATTAATTTATTTCTCAAAATTCCACACAAAATTGACAGTGTGAAAAAAGAGTTTTTGAAATTGTTGAAAATTTATTAAAAATAAAAATCCTGAAAAATCACATGTACATCAGTATTCACAACCTTTGTTCAACACTTTGTTGATGTATCTTTGACAGCAACTACAGCCTTACGTCTTTTTGAAAATGATGCCACAAGCTTGGCACACCTGTCTTTGGGAATTTTTGCCCATTACTCTTTGCAGTACCTCTCAAGCTCTATCAGGTTGGATGGGAATTAACAGTGTACAGCCATTTTCAGATGTTCAATACGATTTAGGTCTGGGCTCTGGCTGGGCCACTCAAGGACATTCACCGAGTTGTTGTGAAGCCTCTCCAATGATATTTTGGCAGTGTGTTTTGGGTCATTGTCCTGCTGGAAGATGAGCCGTCGCCCCAGTCTGAAGTCAAAAGCAGTCTAAAGCCGGTTTTCATTCAGGATGTCTCTGTACAACGCTGCATTCATCTTCCCCTCCATCCTGACTAGTCTTTTTTCAGTTCCTGCTGCTGAAAAACATCCTCACAGCATGATGCTGCCACCACCATGCTTCACTGTAGGGATGATATTAGCCTGGTGATGAGCAATGCCTGGTTTTCTCCAAATGTAATGCCTGGCATTCACTCCAAAGAGTTCAATTTTAGTCTCATCAGACCAGAGAATTTTGTTTCTTATGGTCTGAGAGTCCTTCAGGTGCCTTTTGGCAAATTCCAAGTGGGGAGAGGCTTCTGTCTGGCCACTCTACTATACAGGCCTGATTGGTGGATTGCTGCACAGATGATTGTCCTTCTGTAAGGTTCTCCTCTCTCCACAGAAGAACGCTGGAGCTCAGACAGAGTGACCATCGGGTTATTGATCACCTCCCTGACTAAGGCCCTTCTCCCCCGATCACTCAGCTTAGATGGCCGGCCAACTCTAGGAAGAGTCCTGGTGGTTCCAAACATCTTCCACTTATGGATGACTGAGGCCACTGTGCTTATTGAAACTTTCAGAGCAGCAGACATTTTTCTGTAACCTTCTCCAGCCTTGTACCTCAAGTCAATCCTGTCTTGGAATTCTACAGACAATTCGTTTGTCTTCATGCTTGGTTTGTGCTTTGACATGCACTGTCAACCCTGGGACCTTATATAGACAGGTGTATGCCTTTTCAAATCATGTCCCATCTACTGAATTTTCCACAGGTGAACTCAAGTTAAGGTGCTGAAACATCTCAAATGGATCAGTGGAAACAGATTGTACCTGAGCTCAATTTAGAGCTTCATGCCAAAGGTAGTGAATACTTATATACATGTGATTCTTCAGGTCTTTTAGTTTTAATAAATTTGCAACAGTTTCAAAAACTATTTTTTACATTGTCATTATGGGGTATTGTGTGTAGAATTTTGAGAAATAAATGAATTTAATCCATTTTTGGAATAAGGCTGTAACATAAAAAATATGGAAAAAGTGAAGCGCTGTCAATACTTTCCGGATGCACTGTATATTTTAATAGGCACCTATGATGAAAATCATCTCTTGTAACAATCATTCCCTTTCCATTTGTGTTGTAAAATGTTTGATCCAACCCTCACGCTCGTTCATTTCTTCTCCACCAGGTGTGGTACATGGACGGCTACCACAACAATCGCTTCGTCCGCGAATACAAGTCCATGGCCGACTTCATGTATTCCGACAACTTCACCTCACACCGGCTTCCTCACCCCTGGTCGGGCACGGGACAGGTGGTCTACAACGGCTCCATCTACTTCAACAAGTTCCAAAGCAACACTATCATCAAATTCGACTTCAAGACCGCCACCATCAGCAAATCTGGCCAGCTGGATTACGCTGGATTCAACAACCGATACCACTATTCCTGGGGCGGCCACTCCGACATCGACCTCATGGTGGACGAAGGTGGGCTTTGGGCCATTTACGCCACCAATCAAAACGCAGGGAACATTGTGATCAGCAAACTCAACCCGGCCACCCTGCAAATCGTCAAAAGCTACACCACCAACCACCCAAAGAGGAGCGCGGGTGAGGCTTTTATGATCTGCGGGACGCTTTATGTCACCAACGGCTACTCAGGAGGGACAAAAGTCTACTACGCATTCCACACCAACTCCTCCACTTACGAATACATCGACATCCCGTTACAGAACAAGTACTCGCATATCTCCATGCTGGATTACAACCCACGGGACAGAGCTCTTTACGCGTGGAATAACGGACATCAGGTGCTGTATAACGTCACCTTGTTCCACGTCATTCGCTCGGAGGAACTCTAAAGTGACTTTCTCTATCCGTCCGAGGTAGCATCGATGGAGTTTATTACCGGAAAATAGAGTAATGCCTGATTGATTGTTCAATAAAAGAAGACGTACAAATGTATCAAAAGTAATAGTTCGAGGCAACGTTACGAATAGCTGCCAACAAGGTCTTTTTCTTGTCTTTTTTTAAGCTTTCCTTAGATGATTCTGTTTGAATTCCTCACTGCAAAAACGTTTCGGTTATTAGTGTTTTAGTCACATTGCATAGTAGAAATGTTGTAAAACAGTATCGGTTTATTTGAGAAGATCTTGTATCTTATTTTAAGCACTTTTTATATATTTCTGACAGATCTCTTCTAAAAACAACAACCCAGGCTCATTCTGAAAACTTACCGCTATATACATACTGGAGAGCGCCAAATGCATCTCAGGAGGTACGCTTTTTTGCAGTTTTTATTTTGGTGAATCCACAAGAGGCCGCTGTTTATGCTTTTTCAGATCTCAAATTTCTCTTGTGAATGCCATTAGCGCCTGATGTTCTTAAATAAATCCACCAGAGGCCGCTGTTGACTGACTGACTGACTGACTGACAAACACTCCTCCTTTCCTAAACCCAACCGATAGTGTTGTCATCATAGTCAACCCCATCGTCATGGTTAACTCCTCTCTGCGTCTCAAGTCTGCCAACATACATGGCGAGCTACTGGACAAACTGGTAACAATGGGAAAGCTGTTTATTTGGAAGTAAGAAACTAAAAAATACTATAGTAATTTATAGTAAATACTAGTGTTTTTGAACCATACTATAGTAAATTACTTTAGTAAAGTACAAATTACCCAATGCTGTACATAGTTTTCTACAACTATATGAATTCTACCATAGTTAAAATAAAGTATACTACAGTATTTATTGCAATTTCTTCGTTCACTACAGTTAATACTTTGCATGCTGTAGCATTAATTAATAAAGGGTTGTAAACACTTTAATATAAACGGTATTCATTCATTCATTTTCCTTCAACTTCAGGTCGCAACAGCGGAAAGAACCACCATCTATTTTCGGCATATGTTTCATACAGCGGAATTTCTATAAATTTCTATAGTATTTTTTCATGTGTGAAATTAACCAGCAAAGTTATCATAACTATGGTTTATTTTTGACTAAACGTGACGTGCGTTCTCAAATGTTCAACTTATCAGTGATTCCAATTTTACAAAACCGGTATCCGATTATAAAATTTACAAATAAAAATGATTATTGGTCAGTCAGTGCATTTTGGTCATCAAATTACACAACATATCGTTTTGAGGACATGAAAACGCAAGTTTTTTGAAAACCCGTTTTCGAGTTTTATGTAAACAATAGCAATATTTTCTCTGTGTGAAATACAAAAATGGAAATTCATTCAGTCTAGGCATGCAAAAGTATTTGACAATCGAAACAACAGATTTGGCTAATACCTTTCTTTACAAAATGGCATCGCCCCCTACTGGCCTGTCATGCGTCATTTTGCCTTTTTTAGAGATTTGCATAAATAGGCATTGTTTTGCATTGCATAACATTTTGTGAACGCGATATCAGTTTTTCGAACATTCTCGTCATCTTAAAGTACTCTAGAAATAGTAATCCTTACTTTATTTGTAACTTTTCCAGTATGTTGACATATTTTTACTGCAGGCTCATAGTATTTCTTTACAGTGACATCGCCCCCTACTGGCCTGGCATGTATGATTTTGAGTCTTTTTCATTGATCTTATTAAATGGACTTGGTTTTGTTAACATTTTACAAACACAACATCGCCACCTATTGGCCTGGCAAACATAATTTAGTTTTTTTCTTAGATTTCCATAAATAGACTTTTGCGGTTTTGCGATCATTTTGCGATCACAACGTCTGTTTTTCATACATTGTTGTCATCTTAACGTGCCATAGAAATAATAATCATTACTTCATTTTTTTTCCAGTATGATTAGATATTTTTACTGCAGGCTAATAGTATTTCTTTACAAATTGACATCGCCCTCTACAGGCCTGGCATGCATCATTTAGTATTTTTCATAGATCTGTTTAAATTGACACTGTTTTGCGAACATTTTGTGAACACAACATCTATTTTTCATACATCGCTGTCATCTAAACGTATTCTAGAAATAGTAATCCTTACATTATTTGCAACTTTTCCAGTATGTGTAGATATTTTTACTGAAGGCTCATAGTATTTCTTTATTAAGTGACATCGCCACCTACTAACCTGGCCTGCATCATTTTTAATTCATCTGCATAAATGAACATGGTTTTGCGAACATTTTGCAAACACGACATCGGTTTTTCATACATTGCTGTCATCTAAACGAACTATAAAATAGTTATCCTTATTTTATTTGCAAATTTTCAGTATGTGTAGATATTTTTGCTGAAGGCTAATAGCATTTCTATACTAAAGGCCACCTACTGGCCTGGCATGCATCATTTATTTATTCTTTTTCATTTATCTGCGTAAATGGACATGGTTTTGCTAACATTTTCCAAATAAGACATCTATTTTTCATACAAAGTGACATCGCCCCCTACCGGCCTGGCATGCATATTTTTTGTCTTTTTCATTGATCTGCGTAAATGGACATTGTTTTGCGAACATTTTACGAACACAACATCCATTTTTCATGCATCGTTGCCATCTAAACATACTCTAGAAATAGTCCTACTTACATTATTTGCAACTTTTCCAGTATATTTAGATATTTTTACTGCAGGCTCATAGCATTTATTTACAAGTGCCATCGCCACCTACCGGCATGCATCATTTTTAGAGTTTTTCATTGATCTGCTAAAATAGACATTCTTTTGCGACATTTTGCGATGACAACATCTATTTTTTGTACATCCTCATCATCTAAACGCACTCTAGAAATAGTAATCCTAACTTCATTTGCAACTTTTCCAGTATGTTTAGATATTTTTACTGCAGGCTCATAGCATTTTTTTACAAAGTGACATCGCCACCTACTGGCGTGCATCATTTTTAGAGTTTTTCATTGATCTGCTAAAATAGACATTGTTTTGCGAACATTTCGCGATGACAACATCTGTTTTTTGTACATCTTCATCATCTAAACGTACTCTAGAAATAGTAATCCTAACTTCATTTGCAACTTTTCCAGTATATTTAGATATTTTTACTGCAGGCTCATAGCATTTCTTTACAAAGTGACATCGCCACCTACTGGCGTGCATCATTTTTAGTGTATTTCATTCATCTGCTTAAATGGACATTGTTTTGCAAACATTTCGCAATGACAACATGTATTTTTCGTACATCCTTGTCATCTAAACGTACGTACATTTTTACTGCAGGCTCTTAGTATTTCTTTACAAAGTGACGTCGCCCCCTACTGGCCTGGCATGCATCATTTTGTCTTTTTCATAGAATTGTGTAAAGTGACAATGTTTTACGAACATTTTGCGAACACAGCATTTCTTTTTAATACAACGTCTAAATGTGTACACTAGCAATAGTAATATTTACTTTACTTGCAACTTTTCCAGTATGTTTAAATATTTTTACTGCTGACGAATTCCCTAATCAATCGAATCGTTTTTGCAGTGTTCTTATCAATACTTGTACAGCTTTCCGAAAACGATTCCGTTACATAATAATGAGCAAGGAAGATATCTTTTGGTTCGTCCTTTGTATTGAGAGCAATCAAACCATCAGCTAAACAAGCGAAGGCACTGACTGTTGAAGGCCCTCTGTGTTTTGTTGTGACTGTATGTAGATCAAAGATTTGCATGACCATTTTTAGCACAAGGATTGTATGATTTTATTTTGTTTTGCGCAGTAAAATGACAAATTGTATATGTGAACAAGAAATTAGATTAGCGATTGGTTTTGCTATTCTTCCTGCCATGCTTTATTTTTTGCTGTATTTCTTTTGCGATCTGTTTCTTTTACATTTGTGTTCATAAAGTGACTATTTAATTGTAGGATGGACTGTAAGGAGAGAAGTGTATCTATTTAAATATAAAGTTGTCAGCAAAAAAAAAAAAGGTATCTAAAGACAATGTGAAAATAATGTATTATTCTTTGACTGTATTTCAAAGACAGATCTGTGTGTCAGCTGTCTTAGTTAGAAGAAATCGATGGCGTCATCTAAAACTGTTACGCTTGCATCTGTGTTGTACTTGCAATGTGATTCATATCAATAAAGCCAGTCTTTATTTTACACCTCTTGCTCGAGGGAAATGAAATCATGTGCCAAATTTGTTGATCACCCTACAGTATCGAAGTATAGATCTACAGTTGAAGGAAAAAGCTTACGTACACTTTGCAAAATGTTAATTATTTTACATAATTAGAGGGATCATATAAAAATGAATGTTTTTTTTTATTTATTTAATACAGACCAGATTTAAGGATAGTCCAAAAGAGTAACTCTTCTAAGTTTGCACACACACTTGTTCCTTAATACTGTATTTTACCAGATGATTCAAAGCTTGTTTTTGTTGTTGTTTGGTTTAGCAATGGTTGTTCATGATTCCCCTGTTTGTCCTGGGCATTTAAAGAGACAGTTCACCTAAAAAAATTTATCATTTACTCACCCTTTACTAAACCTATTTGAGCTTATTTCTTTTGTTAAACACAGGATATTTTGAAAAATGCTGGTAGCCATCAGCATTCTTCAAAATATCTCCTTTTTTGTTCACCAGAAGAAAGAAACTACTAAAGGGTGAGAGAGAATAAATAAGTCTTTATTTTTAAACCCGTTTAACTTCCTGTTGATCTTCAAAAAAACATGAATTATTTAGTTTGTCCCTTTATAATTTAGAGATCCCTTTCCAAACAGAACCGTATAATTTCCAACTATTACAGGTGATCAACACTCACAGTATCTTCTGCAATTACTTCTGAAGGACACAAAGTTTTAATTCAATTAATTGTATTTATTTTCAAGTAACAAAATGAATTGACAGTAAAATTTAACTTAACTTTAAGTTGGTTAATTATACGTTTTTTAATTTAATTATTATTTTTTATTTTCATTTTTTTAACAACTGTAAAATTGCACAAATCATCTTCGTGACTTTTATCATTTTCTTTTTGCTAAACTTTTTAGTTTTAGTTTATATTTGAGAAATTTCTTCTCCTGTTGCTTGATTTACATTTTTTATTATTATTATTATTCATTAATTTTCCTTTGGTTTATTCTCTGCTTTATCAGAATGAACTGTCAATTCGACTTTTATAAATAATTTTTATTATTATTATTTGTTGATTTATTTTTGATTTATGTGTACAGAAATGTTGATTTATTTATTTATTTATTTATTTATTTATTTATCTACAAGTTAAACTAATAAAATGGATAAACATAGCTGCAATTCAATTAATTTTATTTATTCTCAAGTAACAAAAATGAATTGACAGTATGATTTAACTTTAAAAATAAGCAGTTATAAGTTAATATACACTGTAAAAAAAAAAACTAATTTTACAGAAAAAAATCTCTAAATTAACGTAAAATAACTTATTAATTAACCATGTTTGGTTTATGTACTCTGAACATTTCAAAACCATTGCTGTCTATGGAGGAATCTAAATATCTTAATTCAGAAATGAATGATAACAACATTTTTATTTTTGAGTGGACTAACCCTTTAAAATTGAACTAATTCTGCAAGGAGTCCTTTACTTTTAACTTTTCCTTTAACTTTTCAACTGTTTATGAATAAATAAATCTCATGTTAAGTCTGTGCTGGAGCAGATTCCAGCAAATAATGACCTGGCTCCAACTTTGGAAGCTTCTTGGAGCGGAAAAATAAGTCAATGGGACTGAATAGTCTAAAGTAAAAAAAAAATAAGAGCAGTCTAAAGGTGGATATCATTACCGGCCTATTCTCTTCCTCCATGGCAGAAAGTGATGACCTCATGTGTTTGGCTGCAGGGAAAGAGCTGATCCGGAAACAGCGGGACAGAGCAACTCATTAGCCTTCAGCTCTTCTCTAAAGACAGTGTCAAATTGAATTGTCTGCTCTGCCTGTGCTCAGCAAATGCACATTTAATTCAGGCCACTGTGACACCGGCAAACTGCTATTCAGGGAAGAAGGCGCTTAAATTTAATGGCATTTCTCTTCCCCTTTCATCTCAAGGTGGCCATCAGATCCAGCTAATCTAATTGGCTTCAAGTCGTCAGTGCCACAGAGTCGCCGGATAATTGAGCTTCTCTGCGTTGCGCTCTCATTGTGATGATGAAAAGAGTCGTCTCCATTGTTTATAATTAAGAGCTTTTCTACTAATGAAATGATTTCTTCTTAAAATGTCTTCTGAAGTCTTGCCTGCGAAGGACATTTAAAGGGACGGTGCACCTAAAAATGTCAACTCTCATCCACTTTGTATATATATTTGTGTGTGTTTGTGTGTATGTATGTATATTAATTTATTTATGCATATATTTATTTATTTATTTATTTGTTTTTGATTTAAATATTTATTTATATAATTATTTATGTTTTTATACATATATATTTTTCATTATTAACATTTATATTTACATATTTATATGTGTTTATTTATTTATATTATTTTTATATTATTATTTATTCTTTTTTTATTTATTTATTTATTTATTTATTTATTTATTTATTTATTTATTTATGTGTATTCATTTATTTATTTATTCATGTTATTTTAGCAGGCTACATCAAGTTAAACTAATGAAATTACATAAATAATACCTCAGTAAATAAAAAGTTTTAATTCAATTAATTGTATTTATTTTCAAGTAACAAAATAAATTGACAGTAAAGTTTAACTTTAAAAATGTTGGTTAATTATAAATTTTTTTAATTTAATTTTTTATTATAAGTTTTTCATTTAACAACCGTAAAATTGCATAAATCATCTTCTTAACTTTTATAATTTTCTTTTATACTAAACTAAACTTTTTTAGTTTTAGTTTATATTTGAGAAATTTTGTTCTCCTGTTGCTTGATTTTTATTAATTATCATTATTTTTATTTATTAATTTTACTTTGGTTTATTCCCTGCTTTATCAGAATGAACTGTCAATTCGACTTTTATAAAATATTTTTATTATTATTATTATTATTATTTGTTGATTTATTTTTGATTTATGTGCACTGAAATGTTAATTTATTTATTTATTTAGTTAGTTAGTTATATGTATATTATTAATTCATTTTTATTTATTTATTTATCTACAAGTTAAATTTAAAAAATGGATAAACATATTTTTAGTTCAATTAATTTTATTTATTCTCAAGTAACAAAAATAAATGGACAGCATGATTTAACTTTAAAAAATAGCAGTTATAAGTTAATATAAGGTAATTAATGTTATTAAAAAATATTTTTATTAAATTCTTATTTATTATTATTGTTATTTTATATAAAAACAGTAAAGTTGCACAAACTATGTAAGATCTATCTTTCTTTCTGCTGAACACAAAAGAATATACTTTAAAGGAAGATGAAACCATTGACTTCTATAAATGCATATGGCAGTCAAGGGTTTCCAGCATTCTTGAAAAAATCTTCTTTTGTGTTCAGCAGAAAGAAAGAAACTCATTAATGTTTAAAAGAAGTAAAGGTTGAGCAAATAATGACAGACTTTTCACTATTGGCTGATCCATATCTTTAATCTTATCTCTTCAATTTAAACATTTTGTCTGTCTTCTAATATGACCAGCATAAATGTCACAGTTCTAATACAAGACTGCATTTTCTGCTAATATCAGTATGCATTTTTAATATTAGATTATTTAAACTAGTCTAAAATGTTCTCATTTCCAAGCATGGTCCTTAAAGTGCTTCTGCTCTTTCCCTGCCTGCCCGTCTGTCTGCGAGCCCAGTTTTTAGGTCATCTGCTGAAATGTGCTGTCGTTCATCAGGATCTGAGACGAGAGGCCACTGGGGTTTGCTTTTTTCCCTATGGACGGCCTAAATGTGCACTTATCGTTTCAGCATCTGCTTTCTTCCTCTATCAGCTCTGCTCTCTCCTGGTTTTCCTCCTATAGAATGGCTTTTAAGTAAATCACACCGAGTGAACCACATTGTAAAGAGTTTTTCCATGTTGTTTGGCTCTTAATGGCTTTGAAGTTGTAGGGTTTCTCTGTTGTATGACTATTTTTCATATACAAATGCACTGCAGTTATTGCACGTAACAACACTCATTATTTTCATAGTCGCTGGATGAGCTGCTTGCACAAATATTATTTTGTATTTTCAGCTTAGTCCCTTTATTAATCAGGGATCACCACATCGGAATGAACCACCAACTTATCCAGCATACGTTTTACGCAGCAAATTCCCTTCCAGCTGCAACCCATCACTGGGAAACACTCTTACATCTTATTCACACACATACACTACGGACAATTCAGCTTACCCAATTCACCTATAGCGCATGTCCTTTGACTGTGAGGGAAACCGGAGCACCCGGAGGAAACCCACACCAACACGCGGAGAACATGCAAACACCACACAGAAATGCCAACTGACCTAGGCTTGAACCAGAGACCGGTCTGAAATACTGGAGACTCCTGGAAAAAACGGCAGTGTTGGTAGGTATGGTGTATGGGTGTTCCCACTGATGGGTTGCAGCTGGAAGGGAATTCGTTGCGCAAAACATATGCTGGATAAGTTGGTGGTTCATTCCACTGTGGTGACCCCAGATTTATAAAGGGACTAAGCCGAAAAGAAAATGAATTAATGAATTGTATGCACTATTTTAATGATGTATAAATATCTGTATTGTACTATAAACATGGCTTATTCTAAAATATTGCAGAAAGTAAGTAACTAAAATCACCTTATGAATTCCGAAGCCCTAAATGCAATGCTAGAGTAAAAAAGCTACATAACCTGTAAGTGAACTAAACCATGTTCACATACTACTGTGTGTGTCTGTACTTCACATGCTACTCACATACTAGAGGTGCTGTTGTGTTATAGCAGAGAAAGCTAAAATGGCGTCCAAAGCTGCTATTTCCTCAGAGCTTCTTCCGTTTCTGTATTTGAGCGTCCAAAGGACACAACACAAAGAGAGAAGTGCTTACAATTTTAATTATGTTCCAGAGAATTATAATAAAATATATAGCTAGCATTTGACAGGACAGCTTCCAGAATCTCTCCCAGTTCAGCGCTGAAAACTGTCCAACTGACGAAGCTGTGGATTGTGAGCCACAAGCTGTAAGTATTTTTACTTGTTA